TCTTCTAAAAGCTAATTAAGGATTAGTAGGAATATTATCCTAAATGGGAAAGGAGATGGAAAATAATTAAGATTCCTAAACATAATAGAATAAGCCCATATTTAGCACCTCCTTGGGGTCCCTATCGTAGCATATAAATTTACCAAGTCCCCTAACCTCCAGAGATAAATGTTCCACACGTTATTATACATGTTTGGGCTGATCATACACGACAAAAGTATGTAGAAAAAATAGAGTTCCTTATTTGAGAGAAAACTTGGATAAAACCGAGAGGTCTTATAAACAGAAGATCAAGAGGCTTTGGGAAATCTAATAAATCACTCCACCAAGATTTATAAGAGATCGTGCAAGGTTATACAATAGATGATTCGAATGTTATTAATTCGGATCTCATCAAATATATACATACGTTCATCCCGTTGGATATATTCAACCCTGCAACATCTCCGATGGCCATCAAAACAGGAGAGGACGACCACCGGAGGAAGAAGAGCTAACCGAAATAATTACGGCGACCAGCCACCGTCGGAAGCGCTGGTGCTGGAGCCCCGCACGCCCTCACGCACAGGCCCAGCGCCTTCCGCGCCCACCTGCATCGCAACCCAGCGCCCTGCCCCACACCTTTGTTCATTGCGCGCTGATGTCCAACGACCTGGTTCTTCGCGCACGCACAGGAGTCAGTCCGTGCAATCCGCGAAGCAGTCGTGCGACCGATGCAGTCGCGTGCGCCAAATGCAATTCGAGCGCGACCTGTGCAGACCTCGCACGTCCTGTGTGCACGCGACATCCCAGCCCGACCATCCCGCATGCCCCTGCGCCTATTCGCATGACCGCTACTCGCGAGCGAGCCCAGCAGTCCAGCAACGTGCAGACTTCGGCCCAAACACGAGCGGCCCTGACCCAGCGTGTGCAAATTCGGCCAGACAAGCCAACCCTCGGTCCCAGCGACCTGTTCCAGCCCAAACCAGCCCAGACCCAACCTGAACCGACCCGACCCATTCCAGATAGGCCCTAGACTGGTTGAACCCAGTTAAACTCTATCCTGAAATCCCGGTTCGCATTCGTGATTGTTTTCGAGCGGTCCGAGAAATTCTATTCACCTACCGAAGGTTCGAGACAATCTGACGAGCCCGAGAAGCAACTGGAATGCATTGATGAGGACAAGTACAACTGCCCAACGGACTCTGCGGTTCAGACTATCTCCTACAGCGGTAATCAAAAACGTCTCAGAGTCAGCAAAAAAAATTTAAACTGGAAGTCCTAATCCTAACTATAGATTCCTCTGCGTTAGTATTTATTATTCAATAGATTTGAATGTTCACATAGTTGACGTTCCTAATAGAACCCAACAATCGGCTCCATCACCGGAATGCAAACTTTACTAAGTCTATGTCGTAAACACTGCTATGAACATAATGATTTGATGAAAGTAGGAAAGAGAGGTATAAAAAGTACATGCTCGAAGAATTGAGGAATACA